TTAAAAGTTCAGGAATAGTGAAAACATTTAAACTAATGGAGCAAAAGTGACCAGAATTGATGATAAAATATTTGGTTTGCTTATTATTTTCTACTGCTCACAAGCTGCCTGAGGTATCCAACTAGAAAGGCATTATGATGTTTTATATTCTGTGCATACAGGATGTTTCAACATGTACCTAATCTTGTTTAGCACCATGTTGATCACTTTAAAGCTACACTTTCTTTTAAAACCTACAAAATTTACTTAAAACATACGTATCTTTGAATAGAACTGTTCTTTCCATTTCTTTCCAGTAATTTTCCAAAAGGCAAAGCTAGGCCTCCATCTTAAAAAAGTAAAAATATGTAATAAGAGACTATGTTTTCACACCTTCTCTTTCTCTAGCCCTGATGGATTTGTTGGACATAGGATAGACTTAAATAACATAATTATAATGTATTTTTAAGTTGTTTGCTAAATAAAGACAAAATCTATTGTCCTTGCTTTACACAATGATAGTTGTCTTATAGCTTGGCTTGGCTGTAAATGACCTGATTCTTAGCTTCATTTTGAGAATAATACTTCTGCATTATTCTGGGTTCTATTGCTTTTAGCTACATAGCAGATAGCCAGAAGAAAAAAAATCATTACCTGAAATTCTGTGGTTGCTTTGGCAAGGTGAACTCCATAGTTAAAGTCTACAGATCTCTTGACAGTATTTCAAAGAAACACATATTGCTGAAAAGCAAAATGGGGCAAGGTGCCTGAGGGGACTTGCAGAGGCACAATTCAGAAAATAATTCTCAGAGCAAGAGAGAGGGAGAAAACACATGAACAATTATGCACTCTGAACCTGATGCACAGAAACTAGAAATAACTTTTTAAAATCATAGCTATATGTTCTTCTCAACCTTCTTTTTACTTAATGCAACAATGTTAAGATTACACTTGAAGATGCAATATTTCATGCAGCTATTTAAATCCTGCTGGAAGATCTTATGCATCTTAGTTTATACAGCATACTGCACTGCATTCAAGAATTGGTGATCACCAATGAATAATAATTAGGATGAATACTAATTACCAATGCCAATCCGGTGCTTGAATTTTCCCATTGGAACACATACACTCCTTTCCATTTATTCCAGATACTACTTGTATGGAGCAATACTTTTAAAAGTAGGTTTTGCATATTGCTGATATACAGCAGTTTTATATAAATGTTTTCACTCGATTTTGGTAGATACGTAGTCAATGACTTATTTATACAGACTATTACAAAAATGAAAATATCTTATATAAATGATACAAGTAAATAAGTAAAACTAAAGTGTCAAGAACTTATCATTAGACTTTAATGGAATGCTAAGCTACAACTAAAAAAAAAAAATGAAACAGATTCATTTGGTGGATTTTTCTGTTGAAGCCTTGAGCTTCTCAAGGATTTTCTTTCCACCTCCTCAGAAGTTTAAAGGAAGTCCCACTGCTGCTTAGATTTAGGTAGGATTTATTTCATCTGACAGAGTACATACAGTTCAAATAGACTGGCCTCAGACATCACAAAAATGTCTTTGATTTAACTGGTAGTTTGCTCCAGAAAAAAATTATTTTACCAGAAGGGCTATCACCTGTATCCTCTCTGTAAGAATATAATATCAGAACTATATCAGCTGTTTGGGTTTCAACACAACCCTTTTTTTTTAACACAGGATAGATAGAATGGAGAAATCTGTGCTTCACAGCTAAAGGCAGCAAGGTCATTGCCCTGATCAACCCAGATCAGGCCCTTGTGGGAAGGCTGCAGAACATCTATCCCATCTTCCAATCTGTGCAAACTCTGTCTTCTGGTTCACGTGGCTTGGTGCCACAAGTCATCCTAATCCTCTTCCTCCAGCCTACATAGCTTATTCTCAAACTTGTGAAAAACATCATCTAAAAGAGGTCATTTTCCCTTTCCAGTATGGTTATATCAGTAAACATCAATGATAGACAGGTGATAAGGCACTACAGCAGCCATACCCCAAAAGAGGAAAATAAACTTCTGTGGTAAAATATGTAAATAGAGCACAGATCAATGTGAGAGGAAATTTTGATTTCAGTGTCTAACAGGTAAACTATCCAAATAGAATAAACATGTGATCAGACAAGCAGAGATTGTTGCAATCGTAGCATTCTGGAATTATGAAAAGATCCAGGAGAGATTTCTCCTGTACCACATTTGTTCTCCTCATCTTGTCATTTTGAACAAGTCTATGATGATGTGATTATAAGCTGATTGGATCAATAACAGTTTCCTTTTATAGAAAAGTCAGGGAGTCTTATACTTTCTTTGCCTTCAACCTCTGAGAGATAAGTCCATGTTATTCAGGGGAGGAGAATAATTATCCCGACCATTATTGCCCATTCTGTTTCACAAAATAGAAGGTTCAAAATTTGCTGTGCACGTATAGGCCTTCCAGTAGAAGTCATTTTTGCTTCTATATCTTCACATGCCATCTCGCAATAGCCCATATTAGAGAGAGAGGGGGAAGGAGGGAGGAAGGGAGAGAGAGAGAGAGAGAGAGAGAGAGAGAGATGCAGATTGCAAGAGAATAGCAAAACAAGACTCTTGCATTGATTTCTCTGAAAATGGCATGTCTTCTTTATAATTATTGTTAACTGCATTTCTTTGTCTTCTCTGCATAATCTTCCTTTATGCAAATTATCTTTCATTTTAATTTTTAAAAAAACTACAGATATTTAGAGATGTATTTATTTATTGCCATGCAAGTATATGTGACTCTGTCTCCATCAAGGGACCAAACCAGATCAGATTAACTCTGCTTTAGAGAATCAGGTCATTTCCAGAGTGCTAGATCTTCATTGAAGGCAAACTGAAATATGACTACATATCATTAGGAAATATTCAGAACATTGCAGAATATTAGCAATATTGCTTTCAAAAATGTACATTCTGCCATTTTCAATATAAAAACAAGAAGCTATGAGAAATTGGGAGAGTAACCCATTTGGATACAATGAAGAGAAATTGCTGAAATAGACTTTTGGTATGGTACAGGAAGACTTTGCTTAAGTACAAAGAACTATTATTTAAATTAAATTAAATTGAACTATTTATGTTTATCATCACTCAGAACTGAATACTCACTGCTTCTTCATGTCACCTGGCAGATACTGGTAAATGTTGACAGCAGTTACATGTTAGCTGTCAGATACTGTCAAATATATTGCTACTTGAATAAGATATTGTCAAATACAGATGCTGGATTTCATTTTTTGTCAAGTACATATAGAATGTTGGCTATCAAAATGAAGGCGAGCCAAATTCTCCATATCTGATCTTCACTCAAAACATCTCTAAGCCTTACTTACTCAACTTGGTTCAGTGATGTTTATAACTGTTTAATCCCATGGTTTCTCCTCTTCACAGTCAACAAGAAATTATATGCTAGATACTAAAAGGTCACCCACAGAGATACTACCATTGCTAATTTGAGAATCAGGGCAATCTTATTTGATCATAGAGATGGATTGAAGTTCTGGGAAGTTTCTCCTGACATTTGAAGATGTCAGAAATGAGTGAGTTCCTTGTTAGCATGTTTCTTTCTCTCCCCTTCTCTCCTATCTTTCTATTATCTGAATACCACTGAATACCACAGGTTCAAATGGGCAGATGTGACCTATCTCATGACTCCAAAAATGGCCACCTTTGGAAATGTCAGATTACAGACTCAGTTGGATGTAAATAACATTACTGAGAGCTGGTGAAATAATGATCACCACAATGGTCCCTAGAAATTGATTCCTTTCTTTTTAAGCTTCCAAAGTATAATTTTTCATACTATTTAATACTTTTTAAGGAATTGCTCCAGGGGTGGGATTCTACCGGTTCTGTCTACCGCTGTAAACCGGTTGCTCTGAAGAGCAGCAGACATAGAACCGGTTCTATGTCTGCTGCTGTTTTAGCCCACCTGCCCACCCGGGCTCTTACCTGTCCTTTATTTCCTGCTTTTTCAACCTCAGCTGCTTTGTGAAGCACAGCTGTGGTTAAAAAAGCAGGAAAAGGGGGCTTTTCCAACAGCTGCGCACCCGCACACAGCACTGCTCAGCTGTCCGGGCAGCTCACCAGGTCATAAATTGCACTCGCGCAACTCACGTGACTCATGCATGCACGTGCAATGCAGAGCAACAGAACCAGTAGTTATACGGGTCGGATCCCATCCCTGAATTGCTCCCTAAATTAGCAAGAGGGAAAAAATAAACACAGAGTGTTGTTCTGCTCTACAAAACATAGAAGCCATCTTTCAACTAAAGAATTGATATGTTATTTAAAAAAATAATAATGTGATGTTTGGGCTGAAAGCCCCAAGTTATAAGAGATGGAAGATCTAGTGACAGGAGATAAATGCTTAATCTTACTTCTCTTCATCATGTCTACTGAGATCCCTTTTACTCAGACATTGCCTCATTCAGGCCAATTCACTTTCATGAGGAAAGAGATCTACTTGAAGCGGGAGAGCTAACTTAAAACTTTTATTGATACAAGATTTAAACACACAACTGCCCAGAATTTTAGTTTTACAATCCTAATTCATAAATAGGACTTTTCTGGGAAGAGTCCTTTATTTTGGTACTGACAAACACATGAAGCACAGGATCTGTTTCTCCTAACTATGCATTTCCTGGACAAACATTCTCCAGGTTTGTTTTTAGAAGTGTAGCATTCATTGAAGAAAGGGGGATTTGCTTCTTACAAGAATGCAAATGTTGTCAGTAGTGGCACTAAGCAGTAGGAAGTTATGAGAAACTCAAGATATGCATCATTTTTTTTTCAAATTCTGGAGCTATTACTGTAGAATGAAAAGGAACTTTATAGAAAAAGTTGTTTCTGCAGACCATGAACTATATAACATGTTTCTCAGAAAATAAGGCCGGGCTTTATTTTCTTTGGAAAATAAACGGCGTAGCCATTTTTTCAGGGGTGACTTAATTTCTTTCTCCCTCTGAGCACCCTCACCTAGAGCGCCCCACGGGCTGCCACGCCTCACCACCAGCCGCTCCTAACAGCTTATCATGGTGGAGCGCAGAGGGCTCCCTACCTCCGCCAAGCGCCTTTGCTGCAGACCCGGGTATGGTGCTGGTTGCAGGCCAGGTCAGCGGGTGGGCGGCGTCGGCGTGAATGTTAGCCTCGGTGGGGCACTTTACATCGTGAGACCTTCGGCGCCCGCCACTGCTACTTCCTCTGCCACCATTGCTTTCCCTTCTGCCCGTGCCGCTGCCACGTTTAGAGTGCTGCCCATTCCTCCACTGGCAGCGTTTCAGCTTCCATGGTCCCTGACCCTGCTGCCACTGTTGTTGGAGACAGCGAGAGAGGTGCCAGCATTGGCAGGAACCGTGGAAGCTACGGAGGCGGCTCCCTTGCCCGAGAAGCAGCTGAAATGCAATGGTGGAGGAATGCGCAGCACTCTAAATACGGCAGCGGCATGGGCAGAAGGGAAAGCAGAGGAAGCAGCAGTGGCGGGCGCTGAAGGTCTCGCCATGTAAAGTGCCCTACCGAGGCTGACATCCACGCCGACACCGCCCACCTGCTGACTCGGCCTGCAACCAGCACCATACCTGGGTCTGCAGCAAAGGCACTTGGCGCAGGTAGGGAGCCCTCCGCACTCCACCATGATCGGCCGTTAGGAGCGGCTGGTGGCGAGGCGTGGCTTCCCAAGGGGCATTCCTAATGGCAAGTCCCCCCCCCGCCCTCAGCCCATTTCGCATGTTTTAAAATAGGCCTAAATTTGGGGGGAGGGGCTTAATTTCACCTTATGCCTAGAAAACATGCTGACACTTCCTATTGGGGGGCGTATTGTTGGAGAAACATGGTATTTCCTCATCTGCTGACTCTGTTTCCAAAATAATTGTGAGGAATATGAATTGTGAGGAACAGGGATGAAGATTGGTTACTCAAAAACTATAGCCACAGCATATTAAAGATCACTATTTTCCAATTTTTGTTTTCTATTGTTAATACAATCCGGTGTATGTAAAATGAACATTAAATTTTGAAGATCATTATGTAAGAGAGATTTTAAGAGTATATTGCCTCTAAAATTGGTTAAATGTCATATAATTAGGTACATAAATATTACAGTTAAGCAACACACCAGCAACAAGTAACAGCATCAATAATGAGTTAAATTATTTTAAATGTGATTCAAACCCATTTTAAGAGTGCTTTTGGAATTTGATCTGTATTTGGTCTCAAATATCTAAGTAAAGGCCAGGACTGCCAATTATGAACTTTGGTTGATGGGTTGCTGGTGTCCATTCTGAATTAAAATGACTTTTAAACTATGAAGTATATATTGGTAACCTCCAAGCATGATTACCAAATATACTTGAAGTGGGAAAGCTAGCTCAAAACATCAATTAATACAAGGTTTAAACAATCTGGTTGGTGTCAGGAGGAAGTCAGATCAAGTTACACCTATCTATAACAGAGTTTATTATCTTGGTGCAACAAAAGAAATCTAGTTATTATTTTTAAAGCCTAATTAAATGAATCTCTATAGAAAACTAATTTGAATTGAAATTGTGACTATACTGCTGATTTATTTGCAATAGCCAATGACCAAATTTAAAACAGTTTTGCTAATTTTATTTCAAGATAGTCTTATTTTTAAAGCCAAAAGTCCAGATAATACTTTGCATTTCAGGAATACATTTTAATATGGATGACATTGCCCTATCTTGGTAGCATTATTTCTCTGCAAGAATATTAATTGCTTTGGGGGGAAGAGAAATGTAAGCACAGTCATTTAGGGCAGTAGTTACCCTTTAATGTGGGGGTGATAATTCTTGTCTTTTCATTTAAACATTTAAAGTGGCAGCTCAGCTGAAATTAAAGCCTTTGCTGCCAATCTCTTTCAAAATATAGACATATAATTTTGGTAATAATGTTGCATTGTTCTCAGAGGTATTCCATGGCATATTTGGGGCGGGGGGAGGAATGATGGCCACATTGCTGAGTATGCCAAATCAATAGTTGAAGCAGTGGCTTGACTATTTTCAAAGTTAAAAAGACAAATGGATCAGGGGGATACAAAAACTATTTCATTAAACTTAGGCATAATTCACCAGAACATTCTGAAACTTCTCATTGTCTTGAATATTTGAAAATAAGATAATCTTCAAGAAGGGTATTCAGTCTCTAATTCACCTACGAATGTTAAGACAAACTGGGCTAAATATGTTAGCACAGGGGGCACCAACCTGGTATTGTTGGGAACAAGCAGTGGGTGAGCAGGTGAAGCTTCATTTGTTCATGTGCTGTATTAGGTTGTACATGCAAAACCATCACCTGCCTCCTGCCAACCAAAGATATCGAAAGTAAATATGATAAAGATATATCCCATAGCCAGAAAGGCTTGGTAATGGTACTTCACACCTTCATCACCACACAAAAGCTGTATATGGAATTCCCTTTGAAAATGCAGCTGATGCAGGAAACAGACTACAAGCTGGAAAAAACCCACCATTGCAGATCTAAGACCCTCTTAAGGTCACAATACACTAAGCTTTCAACTCAGATACCAATAGGTAATAAAGTCCAATATCCTGTGAAATCAGCATAAATCAGGATCTATCTGACCATCCTTATACAGTGAATATTGCAGACAATTTTGCCAAACAAGCAGTTTGATGACTTTCGAGATTCCTAGAGGAATAAATTACAGACATATGAAAAGTTGAACTTTCAGGTGACATGGGAGTTGTATGTCTTATGGAAATGGACACTGCATTCCACAAGAAAAAACAAACAACCCATATACCCTGGAGAATGGATCCAAAAAATGGATAAGGTTTGACAATGCTTTGTTGCCTTAGGACCTGTACAGTTTAATATAACTGATGGAAGCATGAATTTTGCTTTGTATCTAATAATTCTACAGGAGAATACTAGGCTACTTGTCCATCAGCTGAAGTTGAAGTGCAATGGGTTATGAACAGAGACAAAGATCTAAATCTAAGCAAAATTACAGGATAATAGATGAAGGCGGGGGGGAAACCCTGGAGACATGATGGCAGGATCAGAAGTGATTCATTAATATTAGAAAAGTCTCAAATGTTATTGAATTTAAACAGTTTGCAATGGAGGTATGAATAAAATTCCTCGACTGTAACATGAAAAACTGAAACAAGTGTAAGTAGTACTGTTGCAGTTTTAGCTGCTTAAAGGTTAGTTATTGCATCTAAGGGGCAATTAATTTTTTAACACTGATAAATTGGATGTTGGATAAACTTGTTTATTAAGTAAGCATAAAAGTTTGGTGTTTATAGGTAACAACCCATGAAATAGATAGCGTTTAGTAGCAAATATAGCATTCAAAAGAATGCAAATAGATATTGACAGAGCTTACATTATATTGCTCAATATTTTCACCTATTTTCTTTCTTTCCCTTTTCTTCCTTCTTTCACATTATTTTTTAAACATATTGAATTATGGAAGCAATGGAAGTCTGGGTGCCCATAGGCAGCTCAATCATGTGTGTCAATGTGAAAGCCGCTAGTGCATCGCCTGGGGGTGGAGGAAGCAAACACTCTGCCCTGAGATAGGAAGATCTTAAAGGATTGTTTTTTCTTTTAATTTTAAGATTAGGGAACTTTGCTTTAAAAGCCCTAGCAGTGGGCTAGGTGAATTTGTAAACAAAACCTCTGGTAAATTATTAGATGTCAATCTTTTGAGCCAGTGACAAATACTATTGTGTGTACACAAGAACAGCTTGAGCATATAGTTGAACAGGTCAGGAGTAAAGACCATAGGAATATTTCTTAAAATTGTAAAAACAAGAATAAAACAAAAAACCAGAGCAAATGTAGATTTAATATTAGCTGTAAGCTAAACTACAATTTAAAATAGAGACAGACAGACAGAGAGACCTTTAAAAAAAGCATTCCATACTGTGAGACAAAGAATCTTTTGGTTATCTAGAACAATGTCTTCTTACATAAGTGTTAAAATGCACAATTAAATCAATGTACAATATAAAGTAAATATTCCATTTTATCCTCCCAACAAGCCTGTAAAAACTGAATGGCAATTTGTTCAAGGCCAGTCAGGATGCTCAATGACTAAAACATAATTTAAATTGAAATCTTTTCTTATATTCAACTAACTACTATAGCATACCAATAATGAAGCAGAAGGTTCTGCCTAAAAGATTAGCAGGTGCTTTCCACCATGTCACTGCCTTTGGGAGAAGTATTTAAATGATAAATTAATGAGCTCCTTCAAATCTCAATTTATACAATCATTATTCAAAAAGGGATTTGTAACACAGGTGAAACTGGTACAAGTGCAAAGGTGTGTTTGTATGTCTGCCTATCATTTCTCTATCATTATTCATTGTAGAGATACCGGTCTAATTTGATAGTCTGTATCCACGTTTAGGGCCTATACCTAAAGTAAATGAGACTGGAAGGGACAAATATTCTGCACTTAATACAATGTAATATGTGACACGGATATTTTACATAGATGCTTGTATGTTGCCATAAAAGAGGTATCACATAGTATTTTATGAAATGTGGGGATAAATTTATCTTAAACATTTTTCCACAGTCCATATTCCAAGGATGTGAATAATTGTGTTATCATCTGAAATAAACTCACAGTATACCAATCAATTGTTCAGGGGGCTAAAGGGATGAGTTTCATCTGTCCTTCTCTCCTTGATGGACAGCAGATCATGTGATCTGTGCTTATTTGAGGATTATATGAACAAATCCAATTGGATCAGAGCCAAGTTCTTAAAAAAATGATTGACAACATCTTGGGCAGGTATTGATTTTTATCCCTACTACATAGGTCACCATATTGTACTAGCATATCTGGAAATTCTTTCATTTACATTATCAGCTCTCCAATATGCTAGGCAATTACTTACACAGGATATAAACTCTAGCCTATAAACATTTCAACCTGGAAAAAAAAATAGAAAAAAATATATTATCCCCCGGGTATGAGGAAGGCTGCTTTGCTAGCACAGAACAATTCTCTGAAAGGCTTCCCTTGAGTTTAAGTCAGTCTGTTTGCAACATTTCAATTGTTTTATTTCCCATCTCTTCCTTTTGTTGTTGCTCTAAATTAAACTCTACTGGAAACTGAAGCATTTCATATTATAACAATGCCTGTCAGGAGTTCTTTACTGTGCATGATAAAATGTAAACTCTTTAATTAACTTTTTTGTAACAGGCACTGGAAACTACTTGAGCATATTAATCAGTACACAATTTCAAAGTTTGTTTCTTTTATTTCTCTTTGCTGCTTCCACTCTTCAGCTTTTATTGTGTTGAGGCCCATCTTATAACATAGTCCACTAATGAGTCTTTCTTTTTCTGATGTTTCTCTTCTGTAACAGTTTTAAAATGCCAAATAGTTCTCTCATCAAGCCACTCATGTAGGCTCCGCTTTAAACATTATAAGGTATAGTTAAATTGATTTTGTAACACAATTTTTAATAATACTTTGCTAAAATACTTTGCCAAAATAAACATGAGGGCTAAACCTAGTTTTATTGAGATTGGCTATAACACTAGAATCTTGGAAGTCTATTGTAGCATATATACCTCCTTCACAGTAGATTAGGGAGGTGTCTGCTTGAGCAACTTCTGAATATTACCTCATTGCTCTGGATTGAAAAAAAAAAGGTTCATTCCTTTTTGCCTTGGTAATGATTCTTACATATTTCCAGCAAGGTCCTTACCAGTGGTGGGATTCAAATTTCTTTACTACCGGTTCTTGGGCGTAGCTTAGTGGTCGTGGCAAGGGAAGGATATGTAAAATCTCCAGTCAGAGGTGGCAGTTGCCAGTTCTCCGAATTACTCAAAATTTCCGCTACCGGTTCTCCAGAACTGGTCAGAACCTGCTAAATACCACCTCTGGTCCTTACCCTCCGCAGGTGTAGTGGTCAGTGTGTTGAACTAAAAACAAGAGATGTAGATTCTAATTTATCCTCAGCTGACTCAGTGTGTATTTTACCACTCAATCTCACAACTTGACCTATCTCACAAGGTTATTGTTGTGGCAAAAAGTAAGAGGAGGGATTGCTATGTATCTTGCCTTAAGCTCCTAAATGAAAAGCAGGAAAGAAAAATAAATGACCTCTCAACTTTTTAAAAAGTTAATGGCACTCAAATAATTGTTTTCATATCTTGATTTCTATGGTGTAGAATGGAATAGACATCATTATTTTACAGGATTAATCAAAATGTATTTAATAAAGGAATTATGTTAGAGAATAAAAGTAGCACAGTATATTTGGGTTAAATATGCTTATCTAATTCTCAATTAGTGAGTCTTCATTAGCTAAATAAACTTGCAAAATCATTCTTCTTATATCAATTTTCCTTAACATTCACACGACCCGAACCCCATAATCAAGACTTCATAAAGTTTTCTTCTATTGCAGGTTTTACTGTTGTTTTTAATTTTCAGGATTAAGAAGTAGTTTGAAAGACTTCTTGTTAGGTTTCCTGTTTGACGCTAGCCTCTGCCATTCGCAATAATGCTTTTACCTCTAAAGGAGAATATTTGTAGCTCAGGGTTGAAATGAGGGGCTCTTGGTGCTCTCTGAGCTTGCTTGTTTCCTTGCAGATGTTTTATCACTCAAACTAGGTAACATCATCAGTGGTGATGATAGTACCCAGTTCGGTAATGAAACATCTGTAAGAAAGCAAGCAAGCTCAGGCAGCACCAAGGACCCCTGCTTTTATCTCTGACCTCTTTTTTTCCTCAGATTTTTATTCCACTTTTTAAATATACAATCAAGGTGGCAAACATAGCAATACTTCTCCTTCCATCTTCCTCACAGCAACCATTCTGAGAGGTGAGTGGGATGAGAGAGAATGACTGGCTCAAAGTCACCAGACTGTTTTCCATGCCTACGGTGGAATTCAGAGTTTCTAGGCCAGCACCTCAACACTATACAAAATTGGCTAGGCTTTCTCCTAGCAGAATAACCTCAAAATGCCAGGTTTCTTCCTTTCTCAGCACTGAGCTCTGCTTTAAAAAGGCTCTTAGATTCATCTACTGATGGCTTATTCAATTTTTTTCAAGACTGTTAATAGAAATTTCACTTTCATAGAAACTAAAGCAGACACAAATGACTTGGGTCCACTAGAAAGCTCACTTCTTGCCTATTTGTTTACACAAAGAACATTATGAAATAGGCACTCGGATAAAAAAAAAAAACAAGCTGTACTGAAATAATTAATGTTAATATCTTGATTTGCAAAGGTTGATAGCAAACTTCTCAACTTTCATTAATTCTAATTTCAATCTGGTATAATGAAGATGCTTTCAGTTATGAAGTTATTGTTATCTTGTTTCTCAGATTTTTAATATATTAAAACTTAATGTTTATTTATACTGTCATTCTTGCACTAAGTTTTTTTTAAACTTAACCTATCTTACCAATGAATATGGCAGATATATTACAGCCCCAGGAGGACTAAGGAGGGCAAATGATGTCATAATGGGTAATTCTTGATTTATGACCAGTCACTTAGCAATCGTTCAAAATTGGACCTCTCAAAAGCTACTGACAACCTGGTTTTAAAGTTACAGCTGCTGCAGTGCTAATCATGCACTCACCTTTGGAAATCTCTGGAGCTTCCTGGGGGAGGAAATTAGGCCAACCTTTCACAAGTGTAACATCCCTAGGCCATGTGGCTCTGTCCTGGAAGCAGGCACCATTTTCAGAGTGGCCACAATGAATTGTGGGGATTCTGAGGGGCAGGAAGTGGAAAACAAGGTACCTCAAGTGGTAGGAGAGGCCTGAGGCAGGCCTTCCCAGGGCTTCTCCCACCCCTGAGACACCACAACTCATGTAGTTGATTAATGATTGCATCAGGGACAGCAGAAATGAGGTTCATTAAGTGATTGTATAGTTGTCTTGTTTAACAACCATCATAGCCTGCGACTATAAGAGGCAAGCTGCATTACTGTCATAGGTTGAAAATTACCTGTACAAAAAATGCAACTTATGTATTTGCATCAGTTATCATCAGTTATCATAATACACATACATACTGATGACAAAGATTCAACCAACAGTTGTACTAGGGAGGTATAAAAATGCTAGCAGTTTCCACATTCTGGGGGCAGCATGTGTTGAAAACAGCATAAGAAGGTCCACTGAGCCTCCAAATGATGTTCAAAACTTTAGAAGGGATTCAAAGGTTCTAATTTAAAGGGGTTTCAACTGAATATCCTTTGAACTTAAATATCCTTCTGAACCTTTTTACAGCTCTAATATTCAGCCACATATAAGAGAAGCCATATACCCGAACTCTCAAATCTAACAATCTCTCCACTTCCCCCTCCCCCCGCATTCAATCATGTAGCTTCTAATTTATTATCATTTATTCATATCCTCTAATGGTGTTTTGATTCAGGCATCAATCTGTATTTCTTTTACTGCAGTCAAACCTTTACGGCTTTCCTAACAGATTGGAAATACTACTTTACAGTCACACAATGTAACACACAGTTAATCAGAAGAAGATTGGATGGCCTGCTGTTATCCAGTAGTTTCAACTGAGTTTAATCCAATGCTGAGAATAGTACATTCTGTACTACTTAATACTACAAGCATACGCCTGTGGCTGAAATTATGGATTTTCCTTCAGTGTGCATCTTTGGGAAAATAGAAGACAAGTTTGTTTGTGAACACTTTGCTTTGTATCTATTAACTTCATTATGATTAAAACTAAGTTGAGTAAATTCCCCTTTTCATTTTCCAGACCTAGTTAATGCCCATTTGTATGATAAATAGTCCACTTTCTATTCCTCACTAACACCCATTGTCTCTTTATAGTGGGATCCTTTCACTCTCATAGAGATTTTCCATATCAGGAAACATCAAATGCTAAAATACAGAATAATAATAATTGTTGTTTTTCATACTTAGGGAAACATGCAAAATGGATAATTGTGCATTTTCTTTATGCCTAAAGAAGAATGTATGTGACCATTTGGAAAATACAAGGAGTTTCCTTATGCCCTTAATCATTTAACACTGAAGATGAAATGTGTCCAAAAAGAAGAAAGAAATTACCATGAGGAAATAACTTTTGGAACTTCCTCACAAAAACGCAAACATATAAAGATGCATCAACTATTCTTGGGTAATGCTTTTATTGGTTATATTGCATTTATTTGAAGATGAGCTGAAACTTAACTGGATGATAATTTTCTGTTCTGTTCAATTTTTACTTGCCCAACAATAAGGAATGAAGGAAAAATGAATGGATATGAATGGACATCTCAGTCACATTCAGTTGCTTCCTTTCTCCCAATAGTTCCTTAGAATCCTGGAATTGCATCCACATGCTATCTGGAATTATTTGACTTATAGCTATAATACTGTATATGTGGAATTGTTAGAAGTTTGACACTGAATGTAGACTCATGGAAATTAATTCTCCCTGTGATACCCCAGAGCAAATTTCTCCTTAGGATTTTTGGAGCAGGAGAGGAACAGCAGTTAAGTATTCCCTAGAATAATACTATGTTGGAGAGTTTTTAAAAAAATGGAAAATAGTTAACTAACCACAATAAAAGGATTTTCTGACAGTACTACCATCTTAAAGCAGGAATAAAACTTTTTTTTAAACAAAGAAATGAAGATAAAGCTGAGTCTGGATGGAAAATAAAATAAAATTGGTGTGCTACAAAATACAGAAAATACCAGGTTTCCTCCTCCCCCCAAATGGCCTGAAAATGGGAAAAAATACTATACATGAAGAATATTTTAAGTCAATCAAGTTGGGCTGTACA